CAGCAAAGAGTGGAATCTGCAGCACCAAACACATCAGAGCAGGTTTTTTTCAAGCACCAAGCGCAGAGAAATGCAAGAAGAATCCTTGGGCTGCCTAATCTCAGTCCTGGAAAGTAAAACTCCCCCTGGAAAAAATGGGAAAACCCACTTCAGCTGGATTTGTTCTTCCAGGCCTGGCTTCCCTGTCCGGATATAATTACAGGAGTGTTGTCAGGGGTGAGGGGTCAGGAAGGGTTTAGCAGGGGGACAAACAGCCAGCCATGGAGCCAGCCCTGAAATCCTCGGGGATGCAGCTGGAGAGGGGGATGGACTGGGATGGACTGGTCCTGGAACTGCACCGAGGATCCCGTGGGATGTGGATAAACTGTGTTCAGCCAAGGAATGGCTTGTGAGGGAAGGGAGAGTGTCCATGAGGCACAGGGAGGGAGAGGGGAGCAGGGAAAGGGGAGCATCCATCAGGGAAATGGGAACATCCATAAGGAACAGGGTAGGAAAAGGGGAATATCCATAAGGCAAAGGGAAGGGAAAGGGGAGCAGGGAAAGGGCACATCCCTAAGGCACAGCACCGGCCTCCTCCCCCCGCTCTCTTTGGGAAGGACGAAGACCTTGAGACACAAAAGATTCCGCACAGCAGAGTAACCCGTGCCTGACCTGCCGTGCCACCTAAATCCCGCCGGGATTTGGCAGGGATGGTTCCAGCTCCCGCCGCAGAGCCGCAGCGGAGCCGGCTGGATCCCTCGGGCGGCAGGCTGGGAGGAACCATGGAAGGAGGCTTGGGAAGGAGGCACTGGAGGCAGGTGCCCCCTGGCTCCCCAGCCGAAATTCCGGGCAGGTTGGACACGCACGCAGCACCAGCGGGGCCTGGAGCAGAGCCAGCAATCCTTCAGTGCCGTTGCATCACGGAGGGAGCCCTTCCTTGAGTTGGATTGCCAGGATAACCCCCCGCTCCAGCCGTGCCGAACAGAGCCAGGTTATTGAAGCACGGGAGATGCTGTGGCTCCTCTCTCTCCCCGCAATCCAGCGGAGCTGCCAGCTCCCTGTAACCCAAGAGCCTCTCAGGTCCCTTCCCGTTGGAAAAAAAACCCCACATTTTTTGGCCATTTTGCTCCCCCTCCCCCTGCAGAGCCCCTTCCTTCCCCCCTCCCCATCAGGACGTGCCCTCCATCACCACAGAGAGGGACAAGGGGCCGCTCACCTCATTTATTGCCGAGGGTTGTCAGAGGTCGAGGCGGTGAATAAAAGGTTTAAATCCCGCAGGAGGCCGGAGGAGGGGGAGAGGAGGCGATGCCCGAGGCGGTGGGAGCGGGATGCCAGCGCTGCTCGGCTGTGCAGCTCCTCCAAACCCTCTAAATCCAATTTTTTGGGGGGCTGTCTGGAGGGCGGGATGGGGCGATTCCTTCAGCTCCGCTCACCTGCTGCCCACCAAAACCTCTCCTTCCATCTTTTCCCCACCGGCAGCTTCATGGCCGGGGCTCGGGGGCTTAGGGGGGCTGTTTGTCCTTGGAGGCTGTAGCCATGGAAAGCCCCTGAAATCCCTCCTAAGGAGGAGGGATCTGCGTGTGATGGACACGGGGATCTGCCACTCACAGCTGTGCCCGGCTCAGCCCTGCGCCCGCCCGGGGGGGACCGGCAGGGATGGGGGGACAGGGATGGGGAGACAGGGGTGGGGGGACAGGGATGGGGGGCCAGACAAGGATGGGGGGCCAGACAGGGATGGGAGGGCCAGGGGTTTGGCTCTTCCAGTGGGAAGAGGGACAGAGGTCCCTTTTTAGCTGCTTTTCCGAACATTCTGGTGGTTGTGGCTTCCCAGAGGCCACGAGTGTGGCAGTGCCATGGGCACGGCAGGGCCATGAGTGTGTCAGGGGCTCAGCACTGGTGTCTGAGCACCAAAACCCCCCTGGGCTGGGAGAGGAGCACACACATGAGATCAGGGATGGTTTTTGGTGTGTTTTCACATTTTGGGGTGGCTGAGTTGCATCCCCTCACTCCGACGGGTTGATTTCTACTGGAACACAAAATTCAGCAGGGGAAAATCCCAGAGCTGTGCCTGCTCTTGGGATACAGCTGGGATCGGTTCAGAAAAGCAATCACAGAATCCCAGAATGGTTTGGGTCAGAAGGAACCTTAAAGCCCATCCAGTTCCAACCCCTGCCACGGACAGGGACACCTTCCACTAGCCCAGGTTGCTCCAACTCGGCCTTGGACACTCCCAGGGATGGGGCAGCCACAGCTCTCGGGACAACCTGTGCCAGGGCCTCCCCACCGTCCTAGCCAAGAATTCCTTCCAAATATCCCATCCAACCCTGCCCTCTGCCAGTGGGAAGCCATTCCCTGTGTGCTGTCCCTCCTTGTCCCCAGTTCCTCTCCAGCTCTCCTGGAGCCCCTTTAGGCACTGTAAGGGTCTCCTCGGTGCTTGTGTATCGCGCTGCACATCATGACAGCGCTGGGGACAAGCAGGGGGGACAATCAGGGGACCGATGTGCCCCCGTAGCGACCAGGCCGCGGTGGGGCCGTTGCCATGGAAACAGTGGGGCGAGCTCCCGGGGACTACAACGCCCATCAGCCCTTGCGGCGAAGCGGCTGCTGCGATTGGCCGGCAGGAGGAGCCAATGGGAAGCGGCGTTGTTGCCGGGCGCGATGGCGGCGCTGGGCCCGGTGTGGGGCCGCAGGTACCGGCGGTGCCGCTGCCTGTGGGGAGAGAACCGGGGGTGAAACCCCCGGGAGAGCGGCAGGACAGCGATGGGAGAGCGGGTTGGGGCGGTGTGGGGGGTTAAAGCTGATGGGGAGGGGCTGGGCGAGCTGGAGAGGGGTCTGGAGCAGCAGGAGCTGCTGAGGGAGCTGGGGTGGTGGGGGGGCTCAGCCTGGAGAAGAGGAGGCTCGGGGGGGACCTTCTGTCTCTCTGCAGCTCCCTAACCCTGACCGTCACTCTTTTATTTCCCTCCCTTTCCCCTCCAGTTTTTCCCTGCTCCAGCGCCCCTTCCCGCTCCTCGCGAACCGCCCGGAGCTCCTGCCCGGCCGCCCCCCCGCCCTCTGCTGCCCGCCGGGGGCTCCCTGGACCTTCCAGCAGCTCCGCGGCAAAGCCCGAGGCAACGAGTACCAGCCCAACAACTGGAAGCGCAAGAAGACGCACGGCTGGACCCGCAGGATCAGCACCCGCGGCGGCATCTCCATCATCCTGCGGAGGATGCTCAAGGGCAGGAAGTCCCTGAGCCACTGAGGGATTCCTGCTGGGAATTTGAGATGGCCCGGCTGAGCCCGGGCATTGTCCCCGGGCCTTAAATTGTAAATTAAAATTGCTTCTTAAAGTGTGTGTTTAAATTCCTTCTCGAGCTGTAAGCTGTGGCTGTTTTCTGTGCGTGGTTGTCCCGGGATAAACACCCACAGTGGGGTTGAGCCCCTCTCCTCGGCTCCCTGCAGAAATCGTGGTGGAAAACTTAACGGGGAGAGGGAACATGGGGAAGGATGCTGTGGAAGGATGGAAGGATTCAGAGGGACTGGATTTAGGGAGGGAGTTTGGATTTAGTTCACGCTGCACCTCTGCCCCTTTCTGCTCCGGCCCACTGTGGCGCTCCAGGCTCGGAGTCCTGGCTCTCAGCAGCAGCTCTGGGGTGGGGATGGGATTAGGTTGGGCATTAGGAAGGAGTTCTTGGGATCAGCCCTTGGAATGGGCTGCCCTGGGAGGTGGTGGAGTCACCGTCCCTGGGGGGGTTTGAGGAGAGCCTGGATGTGGCACCTGGTGGTGTTGGGTCATGGGTTGGACTGGGTGATCTCGGAGGCCTTTTCCGACCCGGTTGACTCTGCGATTCTCATTAGCGATTCTCATTAGCGATTCTCATTAGCGATTCTCATTAGGGGGTGAACGAAGCCCCCCATGGAACTCCATCTCCCATCGCGCCCCGCGGCGCCACATCCGGGTCCGTCCCGCTGCCCCCCCCGCCCTTCCGCGCTGCCGCTTCCTGCCTGGGCCCGGCTGCGACGCGCCCTGATTGACGGGCGCGCCCTCCAATGGGAGCGCGCGGCGCTGCGGCGCGGGCCAATGGGGGCGCGCGGGGCGGGCGGGCGGCGGCAGTGGGCGGGCCCGGGCGGCTCCTCCCGGCGGCGGCGGCGGCGAAGATGGTGCGTGAGACCCCCCGGCCCGAGCGCGGCCCCGGCCCCGACACCGCCCCCCCCGGGGGACCCCGCACCGGCCCCCGACACCGCACGGCCCCGAACGCCGCGGGCAGCGGCTGCGCCCGCCTTCCCGGGCCTGCGGGGCCCGCGCCCGGGCCGCGGCGGGGGCGGCGGGGCTGAGGGGCGGGGAGGGGGGTGTGTGAGGGGGGTTTGAGGGGGCTGAGGGGGTCGGGAGGAGCTGAAGGGATGGAGGGGGTTGAGGGGTGCGCGGGAGTCCCGCTCTCAGGGGTGGCGGTGCGGGGGTTGTGCATTCTTA